TTCACAGAAATGTTCCTTTTAACAAGTTGTAGGACGAATATCTCTTGATAGTATCAATATACTTATAATATATTTAACATCACAAATATTTAAAAGATATCCAAAATCAAACAATGCAAATAGTAAATTACTAAAAATGATAAGGAAAAGATACTTACTGAATCCCAAAATCTAGAACTGATGGCTGAAAATGTAAGCCCTTTCCACTAAATAGCTTGTCTGAGAAGCTAAAAAAAAGAAAAGAAAAAAAGCAATTAAACTTACTGTAGTTTTAAAATTCGAATGCAGAGTTAAGAGGATATACTTAGGCAATGCCTCTCGTGAGGTATAATTTTACTCCCTTATAGATGAGTCTGAATTAGAATTTAAATGTGAAAGTTGAACTATTAGAAGTCAAATACAGCTGCAAAAATTTAAGATACTCTTAGATTATGGTCAGTATCACTTCATACCAAATATACAGATTCTGTAAGCATTCAGATACAAATGAAGATAGATTTAATTTTCATAGACTTCATTTCTGGATGAATTCAGACAACATATCTATTCTCACCAACCCCAAATCAAGAAAAGACATCCAAGTAAGGGGGTTTTGGGTAGAGAGGGTTGGAGAGGGAGGGAACTTGGGCCTCTGAATTTGTTAGACTAGTTGTAACACAGAAAGCACAGGAAACACAGCCAGGCTCGCTCCTGAAGGTTGAACCCATCACCAGGTCTTTATTTTTAAGATTAACCATCACATAAAATCTCACAGGACAGGTCATATTTTCAGTAGTTATTTATCATAATGATGATTTCACTTTCCTTCAGAATCAGAAGCCACAAGTTAACATACCAAAAAACACATAAAGATGACACACTAAAAAAAAATGAGTATAACAACACAGAAGCATACTTAAAGACATAAAATATGAAATACATATAAATATATAACATTTATAAAGTACAAGGATGTGTGTGTCTATCAAGAAACTATCAACTGTCATGTGACATTTTAAAAGCCACATACTCCAAAAACATTTGACTGGAGAAGCTCCTAAATGTAGCCTGTATAACTGCTTTCAAAGCAAGTCTGCCAGAACAGTCCTTCCATCTGTTCCTCCCACAAAGTAGCCCTCCGCTGAGTACAGTTCAGAGGCTGGTTCACAAGTAGACATCTGAGTGTCAATCCCGCCAGGCTATAGACGCTTTGTGACCTTCAGCAAGCCCCTCTCCCATTTTTCTTGAAGGTGCAAACAGTACGGAGACCAGAGAACCCCATTCCAAACTCCTCATCTCATAGGAAGTATCCTGGCTGTACACTTTTCTTCCTCCCTCCACTCTTCTGCCTCTAAGCTCCCTTCTTCCATCCTCCTTCCTAAGCATCCTTTCTCTGTTATCTTCCATCCATATCGCCTTTATTCTATCTCCAGCATTAACTGTATTAATAATAAGGGTGACAGCTCAGGCTCCGTCTGCCTCTCCTGCCAACCTCTTCACTTGTGACCAGCTTGGGCAGATAAGAGGTCTGCCATGTACTCAAACCCCAAAAGGCCAGGACTAAGTCCCTGACTTGCCTGCAAAACAGAAAGGCCACTCACACACCCAGTGGCCTCCAGAAATGTTTTGAATTGCCACAGGAGGCCATGGACGTAAAGAGCTGCCAGCATCAGATGCACGCAGCCACCCCCACTCCAGACCCAGCTGGCCGGGGCTCAGCATTCCAGAGGAAAAAGAAAACAGGCGACCTCACCTGCCAAAAATCATCTTAGAAAAGTCAGGCTGCTGCTACAGGAGGAAGGAAAATAATTACGGACAGTCTTCTTCCTGCCTTGTGTCCTGAAAGTGGATTTATCGTCAGATTTCACACACAACTTCTGAATGAAGATGAGGTTTGGAGGATTTAAGTGATTCACCCAAGATTACGTAATAGCTACTCAGAGGCAGAGCCGAAATTCCACCGCAGACGTGTCCAGGTCAGAAACCTGAGCCCGGGGTGTTCAGGCCTATCCAAGTTCACACGACCTACCCAAGGAACCAAGGATGTCTCGCCTGCAGGGAGAGAGCTTCAGAGATCAGGTGCAAAGCCACCACTTTCTACTCCTGCGTGGGCCCGTCACTCAACTTCTCAAAAGTCTCAGCCTTACTGTCTGTAAGATGAAGATGACAACAGTACCCTCTTTAAAGTCACCATGAGGTTAAAACGAAATAACAAGGCCTTTGCCTCATGCCTGGCACATAGTTAAGCGCAATAAATATTAGGTCATGTTACTAAGAGGACGGTGCTCATCTAACAGGAAAAGCAGTGGGAACAGATCTAGGAGCCAACGGAGCCCGGAGTCAGAGCTGACCTCGGGATTTAAAGCTCCCAAGTGGGGTAGCAGTAATTACCTCTGAATAGAACAAATGAAACCTGGCCTGGCTCATACCGTAACAGACTTTTCTAAGTCCTACAATCAGGAAGTATCACACACCCAAAGAAAATCGGGCATTTAAGGCCCAACCTAAGGGAGAAAGTGTAGCTTGGTGGTAGAGCTCATGGCTACGTGCATGAGGTCCTGGGTTCAATCCCCAGTACTGCCATTAAATAAATACATAAATAAATGTAATTACCTCCCCCACAATAAAAAAAAATTAAACAAATCAGATTAAGGTCCAACCTAAAGCAATAAGGTAGAAATAGCTGGAATTTCTCTTACTGCAAAGAGACTCTATTTTGACCTCACAATGGAGAAATAAAACCATGTCAATATTTCTTCCTAAAAGCCATAAAACAGATTCATCTTTTCTCACTAGTCAGTTTCTATTCACTTGACAATTTGGAAACTAGATCAAGTTACACAAGGAGATTTAACACCACTCTCTAAGTTTAAAAGTAAGTTCTCATAGATAAAACCATGTTAGATACAGGTGTAGACATGGAGAGTTCTCACACACATACACGACCTCAAGCACTGGTTAAAGACCAAAGAGGGAAAAAGCAGCGAACTGCCGAAATTTCGTCAAGCACAGACATCAGCAATTCTCCTCAAACATCAGGTCTAGCGAGGAAACTTCACTGTGTTTAAAAGATGCCAACGCTTTCATTCCTAAATCCCACAACGTCGAAAAAAATAACTTAAGCCTCAAGAGCTACAGAAATAAAAAGATAAAATGTCTCCCCCTTTCCCCTTTCCCTCCAGAATCAGCATTAACCTCTTCACATGTGCATCCTTAATAATACGGATGATTCTTTTGCATCAAAGTCCAGCTGGCCTCTTTCACGCAGAGTCCCCACAACTGCCATAAAATGAACACGTGCATCTTGTAAAAATAAATCATAAATTCATACCACATATTTCTAATCTTCACCCTTTCCCCATCTGCAAGATAATTATAAGGAAAAGTCTTTTAGTAAAAGAGAGAAGCAAGAGGGGCCATTTTGCTTTTGTAACAGGACTAGGCAGGCACAGGAACAGGGCATGGAAGTGCCAGTGATCTGGGCTGAGGCATCTCAGTCATATGGACCCCATCCCACACCCACTCAGCCCTTATTCTGAAGACGCCCACCTTCTGCCAAGAGCTGCACCTTCCTTCGGCAGCAGGACATACGGACAAGGAACTCCACACACACTTTTGTGAAAGAATATCTTTGCCTAAGGCTACCTGACTTATTTTATTTTTAACTTTTGCCATCGTTTTTTCCTCTATATACCAAAGAAACACACTTCGAAAAAGCAGCTAATACAAACAAGAGGAAAGAAACCAGAAGACCCCGGCTCAGGTCCCAGCCATGAGCCCTGGCATGGGACACAAGGCTTCGGTTCCCTCTTCGGCAAACTGAACGGGTTGGACTGGGTGCCTCCGAGATCCTTAAAAACGTGCTAGGAAGTCCGGTCCTTCTTCCGAAGCAAATTAAATCCATCTGCCGGTATCAGGTACACCCTTTAAAAAACTTCAGTCCAGTAACGTAGATATAAAAATGAATTAACTATCACCAACCGTTCTGGCCATTCACAAATGTTATGTGACCAAAACACATCATTTTCAACGCGGTGCTCCACCTCTTGGGAGTGAGCAACAGGGCCCGGGGCTCCGGACCCAGCCCGGCAGCTCTGGGCCACTCAGGAAGGGAGGTCAGGGGAGCGGCCGGCTCAGGAAGAGTTGCCCCTCAAGATGATCATCCAGACAAGGCTCGTGTGCCAATGCGCAAAACTCAAAGATCAAGAGAGTTCAAAGAAGGGAGAGAAGAAATCTACCCAAAAGAATCAGGAAAGGCATCAAGGGCTGGGACTCAACAGACAGCTTCCCCAAGTGGAAATGGAACGGAGGTGCTTCCAGCAAAGCTAACAGCGTGAGGGAAGATGCAACGGCTGAGGGTGCAGGAGCCACACTGGGAGAACACCTTCTGAGCACCTGGTAGTGTGGAGCACAGAGCCAAGAAGGCGGTGTGAGCGGTGCAGAAAGGAGGGCAGCCCCAGACAGCAGTGCCGCTACCCGGGAGGCACTCCTGGACCACGGGGACCGGGAACAGTGGCAAAGCTAGATGTGCGCCCTATCACTCCGTGAAGCAAGTCTCCTGTGCCGTGGGTCTGTGCTGGACCTTTTCACGGTAAACCTACAGGTCTACCTAGCTTCTGGAAAACACTGCTGTTTCAGGACAGGACTGCAGAGGCTGCCATCCTTGCCAAACAGGTGGGAGACAACTTCACGGTGACCACCGACAGGAAGGGTGGGACTGCCTGATTTTCCATATTCCTAAATGGACTGGTTTTCATCTGTTTCTCAAAGCCCCAACATCCACAGCTAGCTGCCTTTTATATCTAAACTCTTTCAGCACCCCGGGGGAAGCAGCACGTTTTGGCTTTTTTGTTTGTTTGTTTGTTTGTTTTTAATTTTTAAGGTTAAGACAATGGTTTCAGCCACTGGATGAGGGCAAAAAGGTTGCAGGAACAAGAGGAAAGATTTCCCACCCATTTCACAAACCCTCTCTGCCTCAGGAAGGTAACAAAGTAGACCACACCAAAATGATGCTCCTGTCTAGACTATTCAAGGAAAGATATGTTATGCTAATGAGCTACTTACTGGGCTGTTCTCCTTAGAGTCAGAGAAGGTGAGGCACCTTGAAGAGACCTGGAGACTCCCAAAGGTAGGGACTGTTAACCTCCTTGGACCTTGAGCAGGAAACAGGTGTTTCTAGGACTCAGTTGCTATTCCCAGGGAATTTGGGCTTTTTGACTTTTAATTTTAAAAAATGCTTCTCCCCAAA